AATGACATCTGTTCTTCTTTCTCTGAATTTTCTAGATTCAGGAGTTTTACTATTTTGCTTAAGCCACCACCCAAACACATCTTAGGGTTTCTTTACTTTTTTTTTTTTTTTTTGCAAAATCAACATCTCAGATTTGTTTCCAATCATACTTTAAAAATTATATAAATAACAGACATGTTTTATTTACACTCAGTTTTATTTACTGTATTGTATCATTAAATATGAACAATACGTTTATTTATTGTATCATTAAATATGAACAATACAGAGACATACAATGTACAGCACATAATGTATAATAATGTATAATTTAATGTACAGCAGAGCAAAACAAACTGGAAAAAATCCTCTCCAAACAAAAACAAAACACTATTGGTGGTTCTTATTCCTAAATCATAGTTTAGGAATTCAGAAGTCTGATTTAGCGTTAGCAGTGTAGAATTAGTTCTGCTGGAAAAGTACTTTTATTTGTTAACTATGGAATAATGGACTTTTTTTTTATTCTGCAAAAATGTATGTTCTATTGAGTTCTAAACATTTATAAAATAAGATTGGGAGACATGTATAAATTTTAACAGAGCATCATTAAAATATTGAATAGAAGATTTCACAGATTTTAGTATATATATATATGGGGCATTCAGCTTTGTTCGGGTATTTTCCCACGTCATTGTAGTTGTGCTTTTAAAGCTGTAGCAACGTTTCGGCAGAATCTCATCTGCCATCATCACATGGGAAAATACCCGAACAAAGCTGAATGCCATACAGGTAAGTACCCGCGAAAACTTAAGAAAACACACACACACACACACACACACACACACACACACACACGGCATTCAGCTTTGTTCAGGTATTTTCCCAAGTCATTGTAGTTGTGCTTTTAAAGTTGTAGCAAAGTTTTGGCAGAATTCTGCCGAAATGTTGCTACAACTTTAAAAGCACAACTACAATGATGTGGGAAAATATCCGAACAAAGCTGAATGCCATATATATATATATATATACATACACACACACACACACACACACACACACACACACACACACAAAATATCTGTCTAAAAAAGCAACCAGTTGAACAAGAATGGCTAATCTTTGTTATGAGGATACAGCATTCTACTTATGATCTCCCAAAACAGACTGAACAAAACTATGGTCAAATACCCTTCAATGCTCTTTAACATGGTGCTTCCTTCTTTGGTCCTAAGTACAATAATATTTTTGATGCTACAGACACCAATTTTATTACAGCCAGTCAGACTTTCCAGGCTTTTGGCCCTTTTAGCTGGGAATTCAAAAATCTGTAGGTCTGACACAGGGGAGAGGTCATCAGATGGGGAAAGGTTAGCAAGGTACATGAAATGGCACTACCAAATGATTCCATTCTACTTCTGGATGATGCAAAAAGTATCTCAGAGGAATAAATCATGGCAGCTCATTGCATTGTGCTGTTAGAAATGCGCTACTGTATGCAATATAATTTTGTAAGCTTCAGGACTGCGGTCAGATAGTACTGAACAGGATAAAAGTGGGAGCTTTTGTGGGAGAAAGAATATGTATTTGGGTGAAAAGCTAGGCCATTGCTACTCCTTTTCAGAATTGGTTAGACACATTGTTCTTGTTATTTATCTACTTCAATACTTTCATCTCAGAGTACACAACTGCAAAAATAGAAGCATCCTATTTATTTACAATATATATATATATACACAGATACACAAATTAAACATTTCCCACAACACAACTGCATAGATTTTGGTGGTTGTTGTTGCTGCTGTTAAATACAAAAAGAAACAGATCCAGCGATATGCATGTATGTGAGTGTCAAGGTCCTATCAGCTCTCAGTATTTAGCAACATTTCTTTTTTATCTTCACATTTTGATAAATTGAAGGTCTTAAACTGAGGAACAATGCTAAATTCTTTCAGTTAAAAAGAAAGACACATGAAAACATTGTCCAGATGCGAAATAGCATCCACAGCAATGTTTGTTTCTGAATAAGGAAAGACTGATCAGGAGACATTTTAAAAGCAATTTCAGTTAATACAGACTATTGTAATGGTACAAACTGTATTTGAAAAAAAAAATGACAGAACTAAGAAAAGAAACATACAAAAGCGTGTCTTTGATTTCATATAGACAGTATTTGGTGTTCACGTAAATAGCGCAATATCATACCTAAGGGTTATATTTTTGCTATCCTCTCTTAATATCCCCTGCATACCCTGGACCAAATGTTATAAATCTGATAAAAGTGATTCTTCCAGAACTGTAGCTGGAAATGGTGGGCAGGAAATATTCTCTTTACAAAACTGGTGGGTAGTCAAGCCCAAAGTCCTAGTAGTTGACTACTCCTTTTTAGTGGGAAAGCCAAGAGAATGTGATGAAAAGAGCTCCATTTTTGTCGTATCAGATTGGCATGTTTGGGATGGAATTTAATTCCCTTTCTGGGTAGGGAATTTGGAAACACTTGTCTATATACTTATAACAACCAAAAGTTCCTCCAAGAAGCATTTTTAAATGCCTTCTAATTGTAAAGCAATGAAAAAATAGATCCTGCTCAGTTTTTTATGACACAAAGGCAGCACAAAGAAAAAGTTGGAATTCTTTTTTGAAATTTCTTTATGCAAGGACATCCATGGAGCAAGAAATGTCAAACTAGTCAGTCTAATGAAAAGTGGTACAGGTATTCCTCGACTTATTATCACAATTGAGCCCAACATTTTTGTTGCAAAGCAAGGCAGTTGTTAAGTGAGTTGTGTCCCATTTTATGACCTTTTTGTCACAGTTGTTAAATAAATCACTGCAGTTAAGTGAATCGTGGTTACTAAACAAATCTGGATTCCACCATTGATTTTGCTTGTTGGAACTTGGCTAGGAAAATTACAAATGATAATCACATGACCAGAGGACAGTGCAATTATGATACAAATTTTTATCAGCATGGGGATGCTGCAAGCATCATAAGTGTGAAAAACAGTCATAACCCACTTTTTTCAGTGCCATTAAATGAATGATTGCAAGTCGAAGACTACCTGTACTATAAGGACTACTTCTTTCTTACATGTGTCACACACATCCAAAATGGGTAGAGCTTACTGCTCAACACAGCTTTCATCATTCTAGCAAAAGCAGCAGGAGCCCACTTATACCCATGTTCCATAGCCTATATTATAATAAAAAAATAAAGTATAGAAAGCCAAGCATGGCTTCCCAAAAATTTTTCCACCTCTTTATCAACAGTGGCCATAGATCTGGAACAATCTGGATCCTCATTTTACCAACCTCAAAAGGATGGAAGGCTGAGTCAACCTTGAGTCAGTTAGCATTGATTATACATTCTTCTTCTTTTGGAATTGTATATTACATAACTGAAGGAATTAGCTGTCCCTAAGCTGGTTAATATTTAATTGGCACATCATCACACCATGACGTAGATGGGAACCTCCATTGTAACATGTTGTGAACTCTTGCTCTTTATTGCAAATGGTGTGTACTTTGCCTTCCAACAAATCAGAATATTACAGTAAACCCCCCCCCCCCCCAAAAAATATGATAATCATAATATTTTATGCTAGGAACTTCTGTTCCATTTTAAGAAAAAAACTGAATTCTGAGGACTCGTATTTAGTATAAACCTTGAAGCAGCTTGCTTTTTTGTAATTATCCTTCAAAACGGCCTAATGCCTGGACAGGAAACCTAATTCCATTATCTTTTTGGACCCAGCATTGTCTATGCAAAATAAACCTATTACTAACGTACTTCACAATCTGATTGTGAAGAAAAGTGCTTCGTAGAAGTCATAAGCAATAAGACACTCTGAATTAGTATGCATTCTTAAAAGTGACAAAAATCACAAAAAGAGTATCAGGACCATCACTATTTTAGAGCCTGAACCAGCTATACACACATGGTCTAGAAATGCCTATAATGAAAGGACAAATATAATAATAATAAGAATTATAAGCTTCTATGAACTTGACAGCAAGCTCTGAAAAAACTCTGGATGCAACCTAGAGAATGCATCAAGATATATTTACAAATGCCAGCATGTCCTTTATTCTTTCTTTTCATGAACTGCAGGACCCTTGAACTACAAACCACTTCTGTGCATCAGAGCTCAATAGATGGCATTCTCATTTGCATTCTTGGGCTGCATAGTGCCAGTAAAATATTTACCAACCAGTAAAGATGTCTATGATTATACCAGGTGCCAATTGCAATGATTTCTTCATTGATACTAGAAGAAATCTCTACTGTACTGCTAAAGAACAGTCTCACCTTTTTTATTAATTATATGGTTTTGGCAAGACAATTGTCAGCATGTGTTATACTAAAAGATACTAAGATAGAATTTATGATGGATCAGTATGTATTTTCATTGGCAATAGCTTTTTTGTTGTTATTGTTCTTAAAACAGCAAAAGAGAGTTTGAAATTCTCCTAACCAGAAGATCACAACTTCATCAAATTGAAGAAAAATATATTGACAAAAGTAATCCTGGCACCAAGAAATATTATATCTCAGATACATTACCTCTGGATCTATTTCTTTTGATTTTGGTGTATTTTAATTCAAATAATATTGTTATCAGGACAGGGAGACAAGGTAAATATCCTGGGAGACTACTTTGAAAATGGGTACATATGCATATGTATCTCCCACAAGGATAATGAGCTTAAATAATTAAGTCTTTGTTTACTAATACCAAAAGACTCCATAGAGTCCATATGTGACAAAATACTAGTTATCTATCTAATCATTAACCACATTACTGCACCAGTGTGATCTACTTTGATCAGGATAATGGACTTTAGCTGAAAATCAGAAGAAATATTCATGTGCAATGTATGAAACAGTAGAAGCTATTCTTCAGGTATTTCATCATAATATTCATTATTTACTGCATACATAAGACCTATGACCAATGGGATCTGTGAAATTGTTCTGACCACTGTAATAATACTGATGTAAACATTACAAATTAACAACTATCTCCTGTGGAAAATATGCAGTGATGATTAATTCTTGTTTGTTTAATAGACGAAATTTCTGATGAGTGGGACACACTTCCAAAATAGGTGAGTGGTGACTTTTGTGAACAGCAAAGAGATAATGTGTTCATCTTGGTATCTCACTAACCTTCAGTGGCATGTCTTCAATGCATCCAATCATAGATGACAAGAGGAATGCTCACCATGGAAAATAAAATTCCTAATGCCAAAAAGAGGGATGCCTAGAACCAAAATGAGATATTATTTACATTTAGTTATATGTGACAGTGGGCTCCAACGTAAGATCCAGGGTGTAGTTCTTAAAGACACTGAAAAGTTGCTGCCACAAATTTTGCATTGGGAAGGAGAAAATTATCAAATGCATGAGCAATATCCTATTAATTATTCTTATTTTAAAAGTAAACTATTTAGAAATATATTCCTACGCATTGGATTCAAAGGGAAAGTGTGCTCCTCAATTTGGGAAAAGCTGTACATTTCTGTTATATAATGATTAGCCAATTGAAAATGAGCTTTAAATCTAAGAAGAAATATGTTCATGGGGAAGGCAAGGAAGCCAATACACAATCAATTAGTATCGAATTATGTCAGCAATTTGTAGAGAATTCTATCTTACAATTTAATTCAGAGGTGTGCAAAATGTTTCTAATTTGCTTCATCTTGCATTTTAAATGCAGTCCTGTTCTGACTTTAAAACAATTATTTTGCTTTTAAAATGGATCAAATATTTTGGAAATGGCTTTGAATTTATTTCAGAATAACTTTGTCAGGCATTTCTGAGTTTTGTTCCTGCATTTCCAATATCCTTTGTTTCTGTTGCCTTATATTGGGCAAAGGCTATCAAATGAGAAACCTATTCTTAGTTTGCAAGCACCACCTGTGATTAAGAGTCCTGTATGATTAGGTTCCCTTCTTTAAATCTTCATTCTTATTCATAAGCAGTGCAAGCAATTTACTGCAGATCATTTTGAAATACTCAGGTACATCCATTTTTAAGCAAGTATTTATCTTTATTGCCCTATGATATGAATGCTGGCTCACTTAGCCATTTGTGTACTGGCAAGATCTCAGATCCTTCACTCTGGTGAAAAGTATGTTCTACCTTTGTTACACTTGCACAGTACACCTTTTAATCTTGTTAAATGAAGGATAAGGAAGCATATTAACTTACCCAAATTCTCTGAATCAGTTTTGAACTATCTTGATCTGTGATTTTCAAATAGAGTGAAGATGGAAGAATAAAAATCAACATATTGGCAGATGTTGTTCCTATGACAATGAGAAACAATTTGGTGTTATAATAAACAATTTACAAGTCTAAGCCTAATAAAGGGAGGAAATCTTAATTAAATATATTTAGCATACTGTACCTACAACTCCAAAAATATCCTTCATGGAAGGTATAAAAATAACCAGCAGGTTAATGATCATCAAAAGGATCAATGTAATCACAATGTGTTGGCATAAATGAAATTTGGTTTTTCCAGCAAGCTCAAATATAGATGAACGAACCTATGAAAGAAAAAAAAAAGATAAATCTGTTAGGCAAAATGTTACGTGGGACAGACATCCTTTTATTAATTTTCCTTCAGTATTATATTTTGTGTTCACTTAGAAGAATTAATACATCATATTTGTGAATATCAGCATTTTCAATTCTATTGCTATTTATTTCAGCTAGAGTTTTTTATGCTACCACAACTTATTCTGATAAAACATTAAAATTTTGCTTTTTATTAAAAATTGAATTGCATTTTGCCAAATTTAAAATACTTAATCTCTCATACCAAGCAGAATTTTCATGTGAAATTGTCAAAGAAAAGGGAAAATGAACGTTTCCTTTTTATATTATATAATATTTTCACTTTCTACTTTCTGATAAATATTTGAACTGATATCATAAAAGTGTATGATTGCCTTTGAGTTCCAATTGTTTAGGAATTCAAAGAAGGCTTGACTTGATTACCTGGGCAATCCCATAGTCTTCTATAAAATACTGCAATAAGGGTGCTGTCTAGATTTGGATGATATAAACATATCAGATTAGCTCTTATCTTTCCTGAATCCCAGTTTGTTTCTAGTCCCAGCTCAAGGGATAGTTTTAATCTATAAAACTCTTCCATTTGTGGAACCTGAAGGAATCTTTTTCTGAATGTTCCTATTTGTGCCATGGCCAGCCTCAAAGGCTTGCTTGGGATGACTTCTTACGCTGAGATGTGACAGAAAGTTACCCAGGATCAAGCCTTTACATTGGTTGACTACCCAAATTTGGAATGCCTTCCCAAGTATGGTTAATGTATTTATCTACTGTAACAGTGATTTTAAACTTTTTATTGTTGCTTGGAGTTCCCGCTATTATTTTAATATTTACTTTTTATTTCATTCTGTATTTAATAAAATTCTTTTACATACGTTTTATGAATTGCTTTCATTATAAACATCTCCAAGGATTTTTTTTTAAATTGGAAGCAATACAGGTAGTCCTTGACATACAACTACAATTGAGCCCAAAATTTATGTTAAGAGAGACATTTGTTAAATGAGTTTTGCACCATTTTATGACCTTTCTTGCCACAGTTGTTAAGGGAATCATTGCAGTTGTTAAATTAATAACATGAATGTTAAGTGAATTTGCCTTCCCCATTGACTTTGCTTGTTAGAAAGTTGCAAAAAGCTGATCACATGATCTGGGAAAATGCAACTGTCATAAATATGAACCAGTTACCAAGCATCCCAGTTTTGATTACATGACCATAGAGATGCTACACTTATTTCAAGTATAAAAATGCTCATAAGGCACTTTTTTCAGTATAACTTTGGTCACAAAATTAATCGTTGTAAGTCGATGACTACCTGTACTTCCCAATGTTAATGTTTAAAAATAAATGCATGGAAAACTAGTTTGATCTTCTGCACTATTTTCTAAATCAGCCATACTGAAAACTAGAGGTAATCCTTGAGTTAATGGAGCCTGCCCATTCCATTTGTAACCCTAAGATTTGTGGGAGTGAATCTCATACCTTGAACGGGATCACTCCGTTTTCGCCCACACATTCGCTAATCGAATGTGTGGCTCATTAAGTGTGCATGTATTTCAGGGTGGGGAAGGCCAAGAGGAGGCCTAATGATGGAACAGACCACCTGCTTAAGACCACCCAAGGCTTCCCCGACCCACTGAAATACTTCATGCTCACCACAATTGCTTCCCCTCTTCCCAACCTGCTGCGCCAGGTCACTTACCATGCAAAGATCTAACAAGCTGTCTCCTCTCCAGCCAACAGCTTTTTGCAAAAGTCTTCTAAAGCCTGAAGGAACACAATCTCCCTGCAAGTTTCAGCAAGGAAACAGCAAACGGAGGGAGGGCCTGAAGGACCGAAGCCTTTCCTCCGTTCGCAAAAATCCAGGCCTCAATTCGCAGAGAACAGAGGCCTAAAGTACGAGATCACTTGAGATCAGTAGCATAAGTGCTACTTATCTCACATGATCTCACAGGATGCCAGGCCTTCGTTCTCTGCAAATGCACTGAAAAACTGAAGCAATGAAACAGGCAAAGAAAGTGCAACAGGGAGGAGATCTTCGCAAAGTGTGTCTCCACAGGCAAAGTGCCTGTGAAGACATGGCTGGGAGGGTGGGGAGAGTAGATGGGGTGAATGTTGCAGAGCCTCTGTGGTCGTTTGTAAGAGCAAACGACTGCTGTGGTGCTGCAATATTAATAATTTCGGGAGTTGTTTGTAAACACTAGGGGCACTTATCGCATAACTATTTGAACGTTCGCTAAGGGAACGTTCATAACCCAAGGATTACCTGTACTATAATTTCCATTACTTTTATACTACTCATCAATGAACAATATCTAGGAATAATGGGATTTATGCCCTAATACAGTCTGGATTTGGGGAAGGCTGAACAACATCACTGTTCCTGTATTTTCAGCATGGCAAATATTTGGAATTTAGAAGGCTGGAGACTGATGTTAACTTGCAATCTATTCTTGCCAAAACAAAAACTAAATAAGGAAGCAAAAATTCAATTCTTGTATTCAGGAACTACGAATCAGGAACTTAACAAATGGACAGAAATTTTCAACTTACAGTGAAAAATAACACAGGGACTGTAAGTATGACTGCAACAATGACGGCAACACGAACGGTTAAGACAAGGATGTCATCTTTATTCTGATATTTGTGAAGCAAATCTGACTGTACAGATTCTGCAGGGAAAAAAATGATAGAGCTGTTCTAGCAGACAGATAATTAATACAAGCTGCCATTTAGTAAAAAGAAAAACATCCCAAACAACTTCTGATTTAATCTTTTGAAATGAGGCTGGTGAATCACCCTTTCAAATTGAATTGTCAGAATTGGTTCAGCACATCAAACTGTGTGGGATCCATTAGTATCTGCTAAGAGACATGGCCTCAGTAATTCAATCTTAAATGAATGTTTATTGTTATTTGCTTTTTCTTAATTGATTCAGAAGTGAGAATCTATATGATTTTCTAACACGAATCAATTTTCTGATCTGAACTTCAAATTTAAATTAAACTTTGGGTGATTGGCATTATAATGTCAAACTCAATTTCACTGAGCGCTACATCAGGGTTGTGGTTAACCTGGGGGGGGGGCAGGTGGGCATGGGCAGAGTAAGTGTGGCTGGATGGTTGCAGCCGATTTGGTGTGCTTTCCCACACAAGAGCAGGGGTGGTCCTGATGAAAGGGAAGCCTCACTTGCTGCGAGGCCAGGGCGAGGAACAGCTTATGGAGGTGCTAGTGGCGGCTGTGTTGCTGATCTACAACTTTTGGAGCCATCCATACTGGAATGCAGTCAGCTTTAGATCTGATCCATGTGGCTGCCATGGAGCTGGCCCAACCCTAACCCGCTGCCTCAACGAAAGGGGAGCCTTGTGGGCTGTGAGGCCAGGCCAGTGAGTGGGGTATGGAGGTGCTGGTGCAGATGCAGTGATCTACAACATGGTGGCGGCCATCTGGGCCGGAACACAACTCAGCCTTAGATCCCTGGTGCCGCTCTGGAGCCAGCTTGGGACCGCTCCCACTGCCTCGGCACACACATAGGAGGCAGTGAGTGCTGGCATCCTGGGTGAAAAGATGCCATATTCCACACATTCGCCACCTCCTATGTGTGCACTCAGGAGGCAGGGCGGTGGCAGCCTCTTGCTGGCTCCAGGGCTGCCCCATGGATCTAAGGCTGACCGCGTTCTGGCCTGGATTGCTGCACCAGGTTGACATCAGCGCCCAGTTGGCATGGGCCTGGCTGAAGGACTGTGGGTCAATCCTTTGCTGTTTCCAGGGCAGCTCCATGAGCCAGATCTAACAACACCAGGGGCCGGATCTTCACTGCGGGCCAACTCAACAACCCATGCCCATTGGATCATTGTTTCAGAGATATTTCCTTATCTAAAGAGAAAAAAAGATGACCATGGGTGAACAAAAAAGGAGTGAGAATGGGAATGAGTTTTGATTTCTTGCCAGCTTCTCTGTAGAGTTTCCTTGTGGGAAGCTGGCAAGGAACATCAGAAATTTTTTCTTCCTTCCAGCCATCCCTTTGCTTGGGAGAAAGTCAGTCGGGAAGTCAACAGGAAGTTTCAAGTACAAGGCCAGCAGGCAGATATGTGACTGCCACTGGTTGGGAGTGAAAGTGATGTGGTGCAGGTCAGAAATGATACATGAGAGAGACTGTGGGTTCGGAAGAGGCTGTGGGTGTTTACCAGAGATGCCATTCAAGGACTGTGTATAGATGGGTAGTATAGTCAGGAGGGTGCCTAGGGTGTATGTGAGGAGTGGTGTGGATTGGATAGGGTGCAGAGGGGTCTATGAGTGAAGAAAGTACATAGGGTCACAGGGCTGTGTACACAGGGGATAGCATATTGGAGGACATGGGTTGGAAAGTTGTCTGAAGGTGCTTGTGAGTGTGTAGACTATGGTATGCAAGTCAAGAGATGGTGAGTGGGGTTACAGGAAAGGTGTATAAGAGTGTCCCAGGGGTGCTACATGGGTTGGGCAATGTGTATGAAAGGGTGTGGCTTGGAGAAGGTGCTTGTAATTGTACAAGAGGTGCTGCATTGGTCAAGCAAGGGATGGTGCAGGTTACAAAAAGTGTGACATGCAGGGCACATGGGTCAGGGAAGGTGCACAGAGATTTGGCACAGGTTGGAGGAACACAGAAGGGAGTTGCATGGACTGGGAAGGGCTTACAGAGATCCTTTCTTTCCCTTCCTGCCTTCCTTTCTTCTTTCCTTCTTTCATATATCAAAATCAAATTTACTAAATTTTATCAAACTTCATTTCTCAAATTTATATGCCACTCATCTTGCGATTTGATGCGACACTGGGTGACTAAGGCTTTCCCCCTTCCCTTAAGTATAAATGGCTGTTGCTGGGGGGCAAAAGACTGCTGGATTGGCTGAGAAACTGCCACAGAACATTGAAAATGAAGATCATGTGACCACAATCCAGTCCAGCAGCAGAACAGCATCATCAGATAAGAAAATGCCCTTTTCAAATTAAGCATGAGGCCTCCTGATCTGGATGTTACTTTCTGTACAAAGGAAGAAAGTGGCAACAAACACATTTTATAAAATTCATGTTTGACTATGATAATGTTTGAATTATAGAGTAATCATGATTGGTCTCAGTTGCTTGCTTTAAAAAGATTATGAGTCAAGAAGAAGTTATATAAAATATCATTCATGTTAGGGAAGACTGAATACATACATACCATAAAATGTCAAGTAGCCAAAAATAGCAGTTAAAAAGTACATGACAAACATGGCAAAGAAAGAGATTTTTGTAACCATCTGCATTCTTTTTTGGGAATGACTGTAAAAAAAAGAGAGAAGGGGGAGGAGAGGAATGAAGAGAAATGAATATTGGTGATATTATTATTCAGTTATTATTTTCATTCAGAGCTGCCCAACTCCTCAGCAACATTTATTAAACTTTAATACATGCTCACAGACATTATACTATTTACTACACTAATTAATAGATAAAATGAGTATTAATGTGAAGCTTAGCTAGGAAGAAAAATAGTAAAAACCGATTCTTCATTCTTAATCCAACTCTTTTAACAATGAATAAGGGCTAATATATAAATTCTCAAATGCATTCCTCATTCACTGTCATGAAGGAACATATTCAAAACACATGAGACATCTCTTAAATTTAGGAATTAATAATTTAAAAGTTCACTTTCTAATTTCTATCCAAACCTCATCTTATTTCGCATGAAGGTGTACATGTGTCTTAGAAGGTCGTTCTTCAGTATAGTATGTAAAATCTCAAGACAGGTTGCATTGCTAGTACAGAATTAAAATATAATGTATGAATCGAATCAAATTCTTTATTAGCCAAGTGTGATTGGACACACAAGAGATTTGTCTTGATGCAAATGCTCTCAGTATACATAAAAGAAAAGACACATTCATCAAGAATCATAAGGTACAACACTTAATAATAGTCATAAGGTACAATAAGTAATCAAATCATACTAGGAAACAGTCAATATAAATCATAAGGACACAAGCAACAAAGTTACAGTCCTAAAATCACAAGTGGGAGGGGATGGGTGGTAAGGAGTGATGAGAAGATTAATAGTAATAGTAGTGCAGACTTTGTAAATAGTTGGACGGTGTTGAGGGAATTATTTGTTTACCAGAGTGATGGTGTTTGGGAAAAAAATTGTCCTTGAGTCTAGTTATTCTGGTGTGCAATGCTTAGTCTATAGCGTCGTTTTGAGGGTAGGAGTTGAAACAGTTTATGTTCAGGATGTGAGGGGTCTGTAAATATTTTCACAGCCCTCTTTTTGACTCGTGCAGTATACAGGTCCTCGATTGAAGGCAGGTTGGTAGTAATTGTTTATTCTGCAGTCCTAATTATCCTCTGAAGTCTGTGTCTGTCTTGTTGAGTTGCAGAACCAAACCAGACAGTTATAGAGGTGCAGATGACAGACTCAATAATTCCTCTGTAGAACTGTATCAGCAGCTATTTGGGCAGTTTGAGCTTTCTGAGATGGCGCAGAAAGAACATTCTTTGTTGTGTTTTTGATGACATTTTTGATGTTAGGTGTCCATTTTAGGCCTTGTGATGTGATAGAATCTAGAAATTTGAAGGTCTCTACTGTTGATACTGTGTTGTCTAGTATTGTAAGAGGTGGTACTATGGAAGGGTTTCTTCTAAAGTCTACCACCATTTCTACGGTTTTGAGTGTGTTCAGTTCCAGATTTTTCTGGTTACCCCATGAGGCAAGTTGTTCAACCTCCTGTCTACATGCGGATTCGTCCTTGTCTCAAATGAGACCAATCACTGTTGTGTTATCTGCAAACTTCAGTATTTTAACAGATGGATCATTTGAGATGCAGTCATTGGTATATAGGTGTCAGCCTTCAAGAATCTTTCTTTTGCTTGTCTTTCCAGCTGCCATAGTAACAGGGAGAGGGAAGATAATTTGGGCTGGGGGGGAGAGAGTGCTGGCGGTTTGAGTTGGTGAAATTTAAAACTTGGGGAAACTTTTTTGTTTATGCTTACTTACTTACCGCGCAGCTGCAATATCTTATCTATCCAGGCCAAGGTCAATGGCCAGATGTCTGAATCACCACCTGAAGATGTCCCACATGACATTATACACATCTCAGATTGGATGGCCTGTTTGTGGGTAGGAATGTTGCCATAACTTTGTATATGTGATTTTCACACCTAATGCCTCAGATCTTGAATTCTTTTGATGCTACCACTTGATTTCCAGTAAAAGTCCTTTTTTCTATAACAATGGAGTCTAATGGTTCTTTCTTGGATTTTGAATGGAGCTTCACCTGACATTAGGGAGAAGAGAAGTGGAGAAAGCACACAGCCTTGCGGGGCCCCTGTGCTAATTGTATGTACCACAAAATTGAAAAGAATACTCACTAAAACAATAACCATGGGCTCCTTATATATTAAAAATTTCAATCCTGGGGAAAAGTTCTAAAGAGTCTTCTTGGGAATTAGGTTCCAAGATTGGGACACCACAATTGAAAAACTTCCTTGCCAGCATTCTATCTCGTTTCTTTTTGCAAGGATCTTAGTAACAGTGTCAGAAAAATGCAAGTGGGGCCCTGCAAGGATCTATCTATAGTGGAAGCAAATGAATGAACTTACTGTATAGCAATATATATGATTAAACATGTGGATTAACACTGTGAGTATATTTTTCTCCCACTGCAAATAACAGCTTCTGGAATGATTGCAGTAAGCCTAATAGGAGGTTTTGGTAATGCCCCAAATTCCTATCCAGTTTCACAGAAAAGCTACAGTAGTTGTTAAAGTGGAAGGGAAGGATACTGTTGTGATTATGACATGAAAGAAAGAATTCATCCCCAAACGTTGGGAAAGATTACTATTCCTTCACAGTAACCCTTCCTTTGGATTCTGAATCTGTGCAGGCTCCCTACCTACTACTATTTAGAATAGAGTTTGTTATTTTGTCTATTCAAAGCATTAGTGAAGACATATGAATGGCTTATGCAAGACCTGTTAGAGATAGTTTGGCTGCATGTACATTTTGATGGAAAATGTACATGCACATGTGTCCTGAAAGTAATGAAAGCAAGTATCTTAAGAGCAACAGAAAGGATTTTCACAATAACTGCATCTAAACCAGCGGTGTCAAACTCTATTTCACTGAGGGCCGCATCAGGGTTGTGTTTGACCTCTGAGGGCCGGGGGTGGGCATGGTGGGGTGGGCATGGCAGGAGGTGGGCGTGGCCATGGTGGGCATTTGACACAGGCTCAGGATGCATTTTTTCTCCTTTGCATTCAAAACATCTATTCCAGACAAAGGGAGATTTACTTTCTGGAACAAATCTCAATTCCATAATGTAGAGATTAACGACATGTAGAGTTGCCAGCTGCTATGGGGCTTGATTCTTTTGTATAGAAGCAGAGCATAAATGAACTGACAATTTCTCCAGATGTCTCTAAAAACTGTCTGTCCAACAATCAATCTTTGTTACTACCTCTGACACAGCCCTAGAGGAGGGGGCTCACCCTCTTTCATCAAAGACCTAGATGAAGAGCCAGATGTTTTTGGCTCTTCTGAACAACAGCTATCCAGATCTTGGGGGATACCTAGTTCTAGTTGGCAGATGCTGCTAAAGAGAAAGTGAAGATGCTGTCTCCTGCAGCACTCTGCCAGCCAAAATGGGGCATGAGGGGGGGGATTGTGTGGCCCCCCTCATACCCCATTTTTGTCCTGGACAGCCTCCTGCAGCACTCTGCCAGCCAATGAATGGCTCCAGCCTGCAGGTCTTGAGTTTGACATACCTGATCTAAACTATTTAATATCTGGCCTTGGGAGAAAAGGCTAGCCCCTTCTCTGGTGGATTTTTAGAAAATCTTTATGTTACAGACAGAAAACTTTATTTTAAGGTTATGCTTACCGTTATTTGATATTATTTTATATTTTTAATTTGTACTAATTTTGATCTCATTTTATCTGTCAACCACCCAAATAACATCTATGCATTAAAAAGGGATAGACATTTTTAAATTGTAGAAAGTTAGCACTCACCCCTCTCCTAAAAGAATGAAATATTCCCCAGAAATTTTAAAAAGGCAGAATATTATATTTCTCTGGATGAGAAAAGAAGAAACATGTCCTTAAAGACAAAGCAGCTTCCTGCAGCTCCCTGTACCTCCCTTAAAATCTACCCATCTCACCTCATGGCACCTGGGAAGATTGCATCACCTAGCAAGATTCAACCAAACTACCCCTGCATGGCCCCATGGGAGTCTGACAACCATTCAGGATACATTTCTTGCCACAAGAACAGGAAGCAAGTTCAAAGCCCAGAGAGGGCATAAAACCAAAGGACTCTCAGCATCTCTTTCATTTTCACTTAGGAGCTCCAAGGCATGGGGTCCTGTCCACCATTAAAACCATCTTTCCAAGCAGTTGCCATATTTCCAGTGTCTTTCTTTCCACTTAGAACTAAACCCAGATGGACATTTCTTCCAACAAAATAAATAAATCAACAAGATACGTATAATATCATGTAGTATATCATCATTCAAGCTTATAGTATCTAAATCTGATACCAAATGGAATCAAATATCATCAGCCAAAAATTTAGGACAAGTGAAATATAAATGTACGATGTATAGGGATAAAAACAGTAATGCACTATCTAAAATTTCTGAGCTTGTTCTAAGAATATAATATTGACTTGGAAGAAAAAAGCTTTTAATCAACAGTTTTAAGGATAGTTTATACAACAACAGGAATCTGGTTTACAAAGAATATTTTAATCTGGTTAAAGAAGAAACAAAATGGCAAACCAAAAAATGAAAAGTTTTAAATCTTTTAAGTCTGATGTATAAATAATAGTTTCCTCATTGTGTTAGCACTAAGCAAGCATCAACATAAATCAAAATAACCATGCTAGGTCAAAATAGCTATTAAGCGGTAGTAACTCATTATTGCAGCATATATAAACTATTAAGCTTAACAACTTGAATCCCTAATTTAAGGACCTCAAATAATAGGAAACAGGCTAGATGAAGCAGGCAATTTTCAGTCCATGTACTCATTGATAAATGTGTTTTTTCTTCCATACTAATCAGAAATTTTTCATATAGGTGGTCTTAAACGTATGGACACAATTGGGTGCAATTTTAGTAATGAGGCATTATGGTCATAAGTTGCAATTTTACCACTGTTTATGAAGTTGTTAAACAAATCATAGGATTGCAAGTCCAAATCCAGCTTATCCAATGGGCATTTTTGCCAGAAAGTGGTAAAAATGTTGCAAAATGCAATTACTCAAAATGCAATGTGATCTCAGTAGTGGTGTGGCAATCACAACTTTAAGGATAAGTCATAAGTAATTTTTTTCAAGTCTACTGTAACTTTGAATGGTCATTAAGTCATGAGATCTACTTGTACTTAGATTAATAAACCCTAAAATATGTAGGTTTTGTGTTTAAATAATTACAAATGCATTTGTATGAGTGCATTTTTATTTATGAAGTATTTTAGCTCAAGCCCATTTATGCTAAAATATTTAATAAATTTATTACATCTTTTGAATATAGCGCTGCGGTACAAAATCTAAAGAAATGAAAAATGTAAATTAGGTTTTAATCTGGCAATTATTTTAGGAATTATGGATCAGATGAGTTTGTATTAAAAACTATAAAGATTAAAGTTCTCAGATAGATCTAGAAAACAATGCTAAAGATGACAGATTAATTTTGTTTCATTTTGCTTCATTATTTGTTTAACCCAGGGGTCTTCAAACTTGACAGCTTTAAGACTTGTGGACCAACTCCCACAATTCCTCCTCCAGTCATGTTAGCTCAGGAATTATGGGAGTAAAGTCCACAAGTCTTAAACTTGCCAGGTTTGGAGACCCTTGGTTTAACCCAATTAAGCAGTCCTTTTAGACATCATTCTATTTGGATAGATATACAAAGACTCTTTATAATGGGGATGTTAACCAATTTCATATGTGCTAAATTTAATGCACACAATTAAAGCTGAAGTTCTATTCACAAAAAGTTTTCATTGTTTCTTCTTGGGTTTTTAATCATCTGTTATCTGTCCAGAGTTGCCAGTGTGAAATGGATAGCCATATAAATTAATATATCAATTAATTAATCAAACACTGACAACCTGACTTTCCATAGGCACCATAGTTTTCAGAGTATAAGACACTCCGAACTATAAGACGCACCTAGATTTTGGAAAAGAAAACAAGGGAAAAAAACTGCCTCTGTCTCTGCCTCCTAGTAATTTGCCTCCTTGCAGCAAACAGCAAAGAGCCTGTTTCAGTTTCAGTTTCAGCACAGCCTGATTAATACCAGCAGCTGATTGTCAGTTGGATCGGCTTCCAGACAATCAGCTGTTTCAGGCTGCAGAGATTGCCATAGCCTATTGCTACCTCTGCAAGCCCCATTTTTGGTCTCTGCGCGGCCCATTCCCCCACTTTCTGGGCAGCAGGGATCAGAATGGGCATGCGGAGGCTAAAAATGGGATGTGGAAGCAGAAAATGGGGCACGTGGAGGTGGCAATAGGCAATGGCAATCCCTGCAGCCTGAAACAGCTGATGGTCGGGAGGCCGGTCTAACCGATTATCAGCTGCTTATGCTAATCAGGCTGTGCTGAAGCTGAAGCTGAAACTTAGCCAAGAGTCATCAGTCATGTTCTTTAATTAGATATTTGCACGGTAGAAATTCCAGTCGCTTAGTTACAATCTTTGCAAGATAAGAATGGAATGCACTTTTGGTTCCAAACTGCTGCAATGCTCTTTCAAATTTCCTGGCCCCCCCACCCTGTTCATGGCAACCCCAAAACAGTCATAGAAATGTTTTATGAGTTGACAATCTGCCTAATGACCGGCTGGGTGGGCATGGCTAGGTGGTCATGTGACTGGGTAGATGTGACCAACTCAATGTCACTCACATTGAAGGGCATCTCTCCAGCCTCTACTCACTCTTCACCTCCCGGTCACTCCTTAGCTACCTGCCCAGGCTCCTTGGGGCCCCAACAGGAAGCAGTTGTTGGAGCAGCCACCATGAGAGTTTGCAAAAGAGCTGGCTCAATTCAAATTGGATCTGATCAAGAAGGAGGCTCAACAGAAGCACTTCACTGAGGACTACAAGCATAGGCTTTCCAATCAGAGGGAAGACTCGCAGGAGTGCAAGGCCAGGTACCAGCACCTGGAAGCTCAGTGGGCTGAGATTCCAGGCCATAATGCAGTCCCACTGGAACGAGGCCCTCTGGATCTTTGCCACCAATGGCACTTCTCTCCAGCCTTCACCAAAGCCCCGCACCAGCAGGCTGAAGTAGACCCCAAGTCAGAATTTCTGCTCCCCTCCCAAAAAGACCTTGAAGTGGGAGACTCTCTGCAGTAACACAAACATTCATTGCACATATCCAGTCCACAGGGGGCATAGTTTGAGGACCCCTGATTTAGTTCAATATAAAAAAATGCAAATAATTTTTCTGTGGACCACCAAAATTTTCTCAAAGACCACCAGTGGTCCACGGACTATGAGTTGGTGACCACTGGTTTACAATTCAACAATAAAACACTTAACTCTTGCTAGAATAGATTATGGTTAGGAATTATGCAGTGGTAGTCCAAACACTTGAACAATACCAGAATATTTACTTTACTTATATACTTATTATCCCTATTGCAATTTCTGGGATGATGATTCTGCCTTAAGGCATATAAACTTTACAGGATTCAGAAAATAACTGTGCTTTCAGATTTTTAATTAGGCTTATATATTTTTGAAACAAAGAATCCTCAGAAGATCTGAGAATTCAATATACTCTGCCTTCCAGATTTTAGTGATAACTTTTTAAAATATAACACCTGATTGAAAGAATAAAGTTAAAAGGGAGAGGGGAAAAAAGCACCACCATTTACATCTCTGCTAGGTTAAGCTGCCTTTGAGCCAGATGTGAATACTGGTACTATATCTCAAGATCCCTTTAGATTGATAGCATTGTTGGTGTTTCTAAAAAATAGCTGTTCAGATCTAAAGAAAATGCCCAGCGAATAACAATTTCCCTTCAATTCCCTCCTCCCTAGTGAATCAAGTCTTCCTGGAATACTGGGGGGAAGGATAAGTGTCAAATATTCCCTCTCCCTTGGATAATGACAGCACTGCAATATATAACTCAATATTCCTACCATTCAGATGGAAATGTTTTTTTTAATAATCAGTAATAAATATTCTCTTACTCTTTAAGTTCACTGTAGATTGGAAGGACTGATGGATGGCACACAAATGCAAATGCAAGAGTAGGCAAAGCATACACACTCTGTTAAAAAAAAAAAAAAAAGTAAAAATCAGCATACTTTTTCCTAAAGTTGGTATAAAGTCTTTATTGCTTCAAATATCAGAATTGGAATTTACCTGTAGTAAAATGAATGTTTGAAAGATAAATTTTGGTGAATGTACTTAGTGATATATGTCTACGGAACACACAGTTCTTAAGCACCATTTAGTTTTACTCTGCATTATCAAGACAAAGTATACACCCTAGATTTCTTATTAAAATTTTTACAAAGCACATTCTACAATTCAACTTGTATGTTCCTGTAACACCAATAGCTCTATAATAGAAAAAAATGGCAAATACTGAAGAAAAAAAAAACGTACCTTAGAATTAAATGTAACATATTTTGGTCTGCATGCCTCTGTGCCAAAGCTAAAATTGGAAGAAATAGCATCTGTTGCATTTCTGTCCAGAAAAGGACAAGAAAACTGAAATTTCTTGTATATGACCTACAATAAAGGATCAAAGTTGAAAGATTCAGCAAATGGTTTTAAATTGGAAGTTTAATCACTCAGATCCAATTAAAACATTAAGTCCAACTTACCACTATGAGAAAAAATACCATACATGTCAGGGAAAATCCACTAGTATAGCCAAGATAGCCTAATAGAAATTCAAAGGACAACATATTCAGTAATTTATTATTACTTTCATTTGTTTTTATTTTATTTAATGATAAGTTATCTTTTTCAACATATTTGTTTGATATACAAAAAAGAAAGAAAAAATGGGGGGATACAAACAAAAATACAAAACAAACATACATACATATAACACATTTAAAAAATCAGAATTTTAAAACACCTTATCCACATGGAATAATATTGACCAGTCCTTCTGTCAACAGAGAGCCTATTCATCAATAGAAAGCTGGGGCTCTGAAAGTATTTAGGGTCCCAACTTTTGGTTTTAGATTGAATAATTACCTCAGCTGTTGTATATATTTACTTTTTTACTGATTTTATTTGGTTTTAAATGTTTTATTGTTTTAGACCTGAAAGCTGCAGATAGACACCTGGTTGAGATGGAAGCCTCAAAAATTAAATGTACAAATCCTGGGAGCAAAAATGCCCCCCCCCCCCGAGGCTTCCCTGAGGCCCAGAAGGCCCCAAAATGGGAGAGTGGAGGAGTGCTGTGAACCCCCTCCAGGCTCTCTTTTTTCCTTCCTGGGCCCCAGGGAAGCCTTCTGGGAGCAAAAATGCCGACCAAGGAGGCTGCCCTGAGGCCCAGAAGGCCCCAAAACGGAGCCTGGGGGATTCTGCGCGGCCCCTCCAGGCTACTTTTTTTCTCTTCCAGGGACCCAGGAACGCCTTCTAGGGGCAAAAATGCCCCACCCCAACAGGCTTCTCTGAGGCCCAGAAAGTCCAAAAAATGGAGTAGGGGGTGCTATAATAAATAAATAATAAAAAAAAGCCATGCCCACCCAGTCACATGGTCACGTCCACCTAGCCACGTCCACAGAACCAGTTGTTAAATAATTTGAATCCTACCCCTGGATTCTTAGCTAGTTATTTGTTAATATAGGATATTTAACTTTTCATCTCTAAGTTCCTGGAAATAACTAATATTTTAGCAATATTCTTGAAAAAACATCTAAATCTAGAATATTTGAAAACAATTTCCCCTGCCAGAAATTTAGTAATTTATAATAAGAGTAATACATTTTGACCAAATTGTAAAATCAAGAAATGAAACTGCCATTTCATAATTTCCAGTAATCCAATTTTCTCTTGCAATAACTCAAATGGTTTAAAAACTTCACTGGCAATAAGCTAATCCATTATTAATATCATTCTTGCCCATGTCTTGAAAGTAACCTGCAATTTTCAAGCAGAAATTCTAAGTTTTGAATGAAGAAAACTATCAGAATTAAGAAGCATGCTTCACATGGGACTGTAAAAGTTCTCAACTGCAAAAATATTGCTTTATATTCTAAACAGCAATAAAGGCTGAGAATTTTTAGAAGAAAAAGAAAACATTAGATTATAATGCAAGGACTTCAGTGTCTTTGTTGCTGAATTGTAATGTTCATTGTGACAAGAAGGGGCAATTATTATATAATTGGGTAATAATTATATAAACTGCATCTAATTTAATTACTTTTTTCTTCTAGTTTTAGTCCTTTCCAAAATTCCACCCCACATTACCCAATGTATTCCCGTGTTGTAAACAATAAAAAGGTAAAGTGCACTTTTAGATTCTCTGGGTAAATTTTTATGAAAAAAAACTTGTCAGGACATCTCATTATATACATGATTAAGCTCTAAAGAGGTAAATACTTTGTAATCTTTTTAGGCAAGAAGCAGAGCCTTGGTAAAAGTAAGATTTGAAACAACTGTGTTCTGGGTAAGAAATCTAAGAATATCTTGACTTTACAAATATTCTAAGATGTTTGCTAAACTAAGATTTATACAGTTTTTTAATATTAATATATCTTAATACCACTGTTTATTTGAAGCAAGCTATATTATTTACTGTTCTCAAGAAGCGCAGAACTTTTTTTGGACATAACCAATCTCAGAAATAGAAAAATGAAATAAAGACATTATTTAGTGTCTTAAACCAAATATATTCAACCTGTACACATGTTGAAAATTAAGTTTCAACAACCTTTTAGTCTAAAAAAAGTAATTTATCCTTACCCAAATTTTTCAGAAGGCATAGAGGAAGAATTATTAAAAAGGTGACAGCTACAACCAGAACTCGCTCATCCAAATACCAGGCTCTATAAAACATTTTTGAAAACAGAAGATAACTTTTACTCTGAACTCCCATTTGTTTAAAAGTAGCTAAATTTAAAACTAGGGATGGAAATCAGCAAAATTTGGAATAATTTTAATCCTCATCCCAATCCCCATGTGTAAGATTTCAATTTGTATCTATAAGAGCTATCTAGTTTTTCTACTTCAAGTTACTATTTGAGATAGGGAGAAAAGGGATCTTGAAAGAGAAGACTGGAAGTATCAGAGACAGAAAGTATCCCAATCCACTCTGGTCTCTAGAATCACCGTCGGCTTGCTTCAGCCAGATCATTCCAAATAATTACCTGCAATGAAACTTGTAGTTTCTGTGGTTATAATGCTCATAAAGTGCCTCAATTATCTCTGAATGTTCTGGCCAAGAACCTAATGATTACCGTAATTGTCCATGTCATTGAATCTAACTCAAAAATCTTTGGGTTTTGTTCACAGTGGACATTTTTTCCACACTTTCTTCTGGATTGGCCTTCTGGATATCTTGGAACCATATCTTCCAGGAATTACAAATATGCTGGGAATTCTGAGAAGTTATGGTTTCAATCAATTCCAGAGATTCCATATTGGGAAAGATGAAAATGATAACTTTTTCACTTCTTTTTAAATAATTCCATTAAAAAGTAGGAAAATAGCACCATGTACAGTTAATCTCCAAGTTGCGAACATTCAAAGTTACGTGATAAGCACTCCCTAGTGTTTATGAAAATCCTGAAATTATGAATGTTGCAGCACTACGGTAGTTGTTCACCCTTACAAATGACCATAGAGGCTCTGCAACATTCACCTGCCTTCCCCCGCCCCCAGGACCAGGTTTTCACAGGCATGCCACCTGTGGAGACTCAACTATCTACCTTGCGAAGTTCTCTCTGTCACAATTTCTTTGCCTGCTTTGTTGCTTCAGGCTTTCGGTGCATTTGTAGAAAACAGAGGCCTAATATTCTATGAGATCATACGAGATCAGTAGCACAAGATCTTGTGCTACTGATCTCGTGTGACCTCACACTTTAGGCCTCTGTTCTCTGTGAATTGAGGTTTGGATATTTGCAAACTGAGGGAAGGCTTCGATCCTTCAGGCCTTCCCTCTGTTTGCTGTTTCATTATCGAAGCCTGCAGGGAGATTGTGTCCCTATGGGCTTCAGCAACCCTTTGCAAAAAGCCTTTGTGGGCAGTAGCGGAGATTTGGAGGGATGGGCATATCCCTCCAAAGCTCTGTTCCTACTGGCAAAGGCTTTTTGCAAAGGGCTGCTAAAGCCTACGAGGGCACAATCCTCAAACAGTTCAGCAGCAAGAAAGGAGGCCTGGAAGGGCACGTGCGGCCCTCCAAGCCTTGTTTTTTGTTGCTGAAAGCTTCATCAAGCATTTCAGTGGTGAGAAGGGAGGCCCGGAAAGGTGTGTGCAGCCCTCTGCATCTTGTTTTTCATCGCCAAAGGCTTCATCAAGTGGTTTGGTGGCGAGAGAGGCCGAGAGGGGTACACATGGCCCCCCGAGCCTCATTTTTCATTGCTGAATGCTTCATCAAGTACTTTACAAATGAGAAAGGAGGGAGCCGGCAAACAGAGAGGTTGGAGAGGAGACAGATCTTCATAAGTGTTCTAACCCAGGCTTCATCAAACTTAATAAAACAAACTGAATTTAAAAATAAAACCTTTTTTAATGTCACACTGGGAATTACTTGCATTCCCAGCCAAAACTCATTAGACACAGTTCCTCCAGATAAGAGCACACTTTTCAGTGCTGTCAAATGCTGCCAAGAAACAGAAGTCCAATTAAGGCCCACATAAACTAACCCAAAAACCTAGAAAAAAATGTCCAGAGTACAGAGCTTCACGAAGGACTCGGAGATTACTGAACTGCTTTGAGGATTGACTTTTATCCCTTATGGGAGAGACAATCACCTCCCAACCTTACTCCCGAGTGGCCCCTTCTGCTTCAGCTACTCTTGCCTTCTAACAGCTCTGTGCACATGCGCACTGGGAACAGGCTCTCCTGGGTCCTCTCATTCGCTGCTGGCAGACTCCAAAAGCTCCGAAGGTAGCACCCCACTCTCAGATGGTCCTGGCCCCATCCCTGCATCAGATGCAAGACCCTCATCCAAGTTCTCACCAAATTCCCTGACTGGTTCCCTTTCGTCCTCACTGTCCGATACCTCTGCTGTCTGCACCGGCTGCTGTCGAACCACAACAATAAGGTAAGTGACCTGGCACAGCAGGATGGGGAGGAACAATTGTGGGGACCCCAGGGGAGGGAGAATGAGGTATCTCAGTGGGTCAGGGGAAGTCTTGGGTGGTCTGTTCCACCACTAGGACCCCCCCATGGTCTTCCCCACCCTGAGATACCTCAAGTGCATTTAACAAGATGCACACTAAATTAGCGAATGCATGCATGAAAGCATGGAGTGATCACATTCAAGTTACATAGATCACTCCTACGGATCCTCAGTTACAAATGGAATGGGCAGGCGCCATTCTATTCATAACTCGAGGACTACCTGTATTTCCCCCTGGCATCAACCACTTTATATAAATCCTTCATCCAACCACCAAAATAGAAAAAAACATAAATTCAACTTACACAAAAGTGTTATCTTTTCCCATAAGGAACTTTATGGCAGCAGGTAACTCATTTTTAACTATAAAGAGGTAACTCAATATAGCTGTAGGAAAGCATGGTAAAAAGAAAACAAGAAATTGTGCCTTAAGCATACATTTCTGTATAATTTTCAAAGCAAGTCAAAAGAATATTTGGCAAAATTCAGCTAATAACATGGGTAGTTAGCAAAATCGGTTATGGGCTTTTTCCTTACATGTGTAGAACTTGCACAAATAAAATAAAAAAAATAAAAAAATAATGAAATGAAATCAAATGAAATGAAATCAAATGGTAGAAAGGGAAAAATCAAATGAAAACAAATACTTTTGTTTTAGTATAATTCTCATAGTACATTCACAGTTAATTACCTGCAGAAAAAGATATAGTATTAAAACCATTTCAAACTACAATTTAATGTCATTGTTTCACCAGTTGTTTTAAAACCAGTTGTTAATCAATAGGTAAAGCAACTTACGCCCGCAAATGTTTCTGCTCCAAAAGTAGTTTGCTTTAAGTTAAAAAAAAAATCCTTTTCTCCCTGTGGACTTTCCCATTGCATTTTTATGTGTATATGCAAGAAAAGGAATGGTATACATGTGGATGATGGTAAATGGGTACATATGTAAATAGCTATGGCTCATTGGCTCCTTCTGCAGTTCTGCAAATGATTCAAAGAGCTAATGCAGCTTCCCAGTATTAAATACTTAAGTAGACCTACTGAATGAATTATTCATTTTTTCCTGCTTCTTTAGACTTTATTTACCTCCAGTGTTCTGAAGAGATGTAGATCCAAAAACAATCATCTTTCCTGGAGTGCCAAAAACTTGTTCTCCGAGTTTTTCATAAACCATGCAGCCTAGTTAAACCAAAGTGAAGAGAGTTGGCAATTAATCACAACAAGGAATAGTATCTCTAATCATATATTGTATATTTGTTGCATACCTATGTATATCATATGCTATTTTTATCTTTTAGCTGACAAATGAGATATAAAGCATAAGAAGCAGAAAGCACTTCTATATCATAGCATTTGTTCTCTCCAGTTCTTTGCAAAGAAAAATTCTGAAGCTATTGTCTTCACTTCTTATAACCTTGAAACATAGAGGACACTTGTGAACCAATATTGCTGCTGTCTCTCCTTCTGGTTCAGCGGCAGAAGAGTGAAAATAATGTTGTTAAATTTCTGTCTTTGTCCAACTCTTTGATCATGAAATATCAAAAGCTATTTTACTCTTAAGCAAAATTAAAATAAAATAAATTGCACAAGTATCAACCACAATTTTCATTCAACAAATATTTGTGATGGTGGTTTACAAAAAATATTGTGAGGTTCTAGTGATATGAAACTACGTGAGGAAAATTCAAACGTGAAAAATATAAATCACATTGGCATTGCTTGGCTGCATTTGAATATCCCAATAAGTTGTGAAACGGCAACACTTTGCAAGCAGGCACTTTCTCCAAAAGCTATGACCATGATTGTGGGAAAGTGCATACTTGCAAAGTGTTACCATTTCATCATCACAAATAATTGGGTTATTTCAATAAGACTATAATTTTATTAATATTCAATAATTCAGAAGGTTGGATGAAGACAGTAATTGCCCAGTTACAGTTTCTGGATTGATGGAGGGGAAGAGAATACATTAGTGAACCAAAGGAGAGCGTGAGGGAAAGGAAGGGGAGCGAGAAGAGATTATTGGTCTCAACATAGGGAGGGGGAGCCAAGGTGAGACAAACATTTCTGCTAATGACAAAAGACAGCTCTTAAGATCTGTAGAGCCACAATGATTCTGTGGCTTCCAACCAACTGGAGCAGAGTCAAGAATAAATAAACGCAAACTCTGGAACTAACTTTAAAGTGCTATTCCAAAATATTGGTATAGAAATATCAATTAAATGGCCTTCACTCTATTGAAATTTCTTGGAATTACAGCTACACTTTAGCAACTATCCCAAAATCCTAATCAACTGCAAACAACATGAAGATAAATCATAATAATTCCTTTTGTCATAATCTTTGATGCCATATACAACAAGAATTGGAAATTTTCTATTGTAGACTTTTCTTTTATTCACAGAGGATGATGATAGAAATGGAGAACAGCCATCCTTCTTCTTTTCCATTACAGTACCTTGTAATGGAAATCTTGAAAAGGTATTAGCCTGACTAGATGAAGCACTGCATCTCCAATTAAAATATTCTTTTGTTTTTCTATCAGCATAACCAATTATGTGATTTTCAATTGTATATGTTTTGTAAGGTAATAAACTGAACATATAAATTCTATCAAACTAAAACAAACGGTGGGTTAAATCTATCTATCTATCTATATATATTTGATTTACTAATAAAGAATGGAGCAAAATATTTTAATTGACATATTGAATGATATTTATGAATAATGGATCAGAAGTTAATTTTAAGCGTGTTTGGCATTATAAATACACTGTATTTGGAAGAGGAACAATTTTTACCTCATAGTCCTGAATCTGATTTAAAATAATGTGCAAGGGGACGCTACAGTGGATATAGAAATGTCTTAGCAAGTGACCTGGATTACTTTCTTACATTGGATTCACAAAAGAGACTTGTTTAACATTTTGAAGAGTTCTGTGAGAAATAATAAAACAAGTGAGAAGAAATCAAGTTCTAGGACTTCATTTGAGATGATTAAGCCTCCAGATTTTGAAAAGTAAATGGAAGAAATATAAGAAGATCAAGACTGTTAACAGCAAAAGGAAAGCACACAAAGTTGGTTTATCTATCTTCTATCTATATATATAAAAGCGAAATACCACTCATGCATCATCACAAAATCTCTAGAACAGTAAAGCCTACAACCATGAAATTTGGCACATACGTCTCTCTTGGCTTTTAGGTGCTCATTAAGAAAGGATTTTTTGAAATTACCAACAGAGTATTAGTATTTTGTATATTATTTACACGCTCTGATGCTAAGGAGTTCTACACTCCCTCCCCACCTGAAAAGAAATCTGTTCCAAATGCAAAACACACAAGCAGGGGAGAGGAGTTTTAGTCTCACTTTTAGTTTCACAGCACCAAGCAGCTTTAGTACAGAACAGTTGAGCTAAGCCATGCCCAGGCTCCTTGCTGTCTCCTTCTTGCTCACACAGCAAATACTGCTTCAGTTTCCAAACAACCCTCAACTCTCTCACACACTGACAGTATACTAGCCAGATGGACGCTTGTAGGCCGAGGCAGAATTCCCCCCCCCCATTTCCTCCCCCAAAACTAAGCCCGACCACATAGTTTAGTAGCGAAGCACGAGTATCGAGCTTGTCCAGAATATTTTAAGTCCACCATATTTTTGACTTTTTGGGGAAAAAAAGAGATGTCATTGAGGATGACAAATCGGTAACTCGGGCAGCGATCAGGTCTTTAGAATGTTTATGCTGGCATGTGGTTCTTTTAATTATTATACTGAACTCTTTTTGCTGATAAGCAGTAGTTCATATCATTCAGAGGTGTATTAAGTAGAAAATTTGGGAACTGTATCTTTGTATTGTATTCAACATGGAGTTAAATGCTGCCATCATGGTGGCTCCACTGTCCCACTAAACAGGTCTGTAAAGGACTGTAAAGGACTTTGACTTGTAGCAAGATGTTTCCTTTCCCTCCTTACAAATCAAGCCATTTTGCACATACCTTTATCATGATGCTATAAGATAGTGCTCAGTACACACAAAGGGAAATTGCACTGAATTTACTACTCATTGACTGGTATTTCTGGCTGTATATTAGAATGTCCTGTTTCCTATAAAACAGGGGTGGGGAACTATGGCCCTTTTATGACTTGTGGACTTTAGCTCCCAGATGACAGTAATTTCAACAATTTGATCAAGGTTTTTTTTATTTATTTTCACTTCACTTTTAAAGCATACATTTTCATATACTGTTTAACCTCATTATCTTATTAAGATCATGTTTGAACTATGGCATTATATACTTTTTTATTTAATAAAGCAAAACTAAACAATGGTTATTTTTTTCTTGGTTTAACAAAGCATATTTAATTTCTTTTAGAATTAATAAAGCAAAGCAAAATAAGGTGGAAGATTTAGGCTTTTATATACCATATTCATTATCTATATGTTGGAAGTAAAGTTACCTGTTTCCTTTGCACATGCTAACAAGAGATTTATTGAATAAATGGAGAGCAGTGTCACTGAAATCAAAAGCAACCTAGAAGAAAAATAAGAAAAATATTTTAGCACTATAATATAAAACTTGAGTAAGAGTGGATGTAAAGCAGTAATATGAATATAACTTTAACTTAAACCATAGGGGCCTCCTTTAGGTTAACATAATTACTTGGGGGAAGGCAGGATGGCTGCCTTCTCAAGAACAGTGACAAATGACAAATCATATATTAAAATAATTGCTCTGAATGAAATTTGTCATTTGGTCTTAAGGAACTTTGGATCAAGCATTTTGAGGACACTGGAGCTTATCTTTAAAATGTATGTTCTTAGCCCAGGGTTTGTCTGTGCATTCAAAAGGTCTTACTCCAAATATGAGGGCAGAGTTGCAAAATGAGAGATTATTTCAAGTTTTATGGTTTCAAATTGTCATGCAGCATAAATCTGATTTGCAGGTTCAGTTTATTTGGATAATGTAATAGAAGTAGGATTGAGTAATAGAAGTCAGGATTGTGAAATTCATGTGAGGTTGACAAGGGGAGCTTTGTGAAATTCTGTTGCTGAGAAACACCCTCAAGGAAATTGCCACTTCTGTGGCTTCTCATCTTCATTGTTTGCACACTGTGTAGATGTCATGGAATGTGTACATGAACTTGAGATAGGGGAGGAAGAGCTGCTGCCTAGGAAACAATCAGACAAAAGAGTTTTCAATGACTTAGAATAAGAAAGTTAAGAAAGATCTGTCCTAATGGAGCAAGCGTTAAACATGGTGGTGTGAAGTTTGTGCCTTACAAGATTCTGTTAATATGGTCTTACAATAAAGTAGAATTAGTTCAATGTTTCCTGCCTGGTTTATCTGACAGCAGATTGGTTCCTGTGACAAAAATTAAGGAGAGTAGCTTAGGTGGAGTAAGATCATAAATATTATGTCAGAGTGCACATAGTGTAACTATGTGAGACACCCCAGGAGCAAATACAGTAAACAGAGGTTTGTATTTTAAATAGTAGTTTTATCTACAAAGAATATATACATACACATCAGACCTCAAACAGCCAACAGCAATTGCAGCATGGAAACAAACAAACACACACACACAGATATGCCCCAACAGGGCCTCTTCTTATTACATGCTCTTAAAGTGATATCAGCTGAAAAACCTTGCTGACACATTCCCAGTTTTACATCATCATAGCAGTTGGTCAACTCTTAAATCATTACCGTGACATGCCACCCATTTAAAGCTGAAATAGCTGTTAATCCAAATGTTTTTAACATATTCCTGATACTTGTCTACATTTATAGTATATATAGTGTTTGCACCAAAAATGGGGCTTGCAGAGGTAACAATAGGCTATGACAATCTCTGCAGCCTGAAACAGCTGATTGTCTGGAGGCCGATCCAACTAACAATCAGCTGCTGGTATTAATCAAGCTGTGCTAAAACTGAAACAGGCTTTTTGCTGTTTGCTACAAGGAGGCAAATTGCTAGGAGGCAGAGACAGAGGCAGTTTTTTTCCCTTGTTTTCTTTTCCAAAATCTAGGTGCATCTTATACTTCGGAGTGTCTTATACTCTGAAAAATATGCTGCCTGTGGAAAGTCAGGTTGTCAGTGTTTGATTAATTAATTGATATATTAATTTATATGGCCACCCATTTCACACTGGCAACTCTGGACAGATAACAGATGATTAAAAACCCAAGAAGAAACAATGAAAACTTTTTGTGAATTGACAGGTAGTTGCTGAGAAAAGGTTCTATTGCTCTTGTTTGTGAAGTGAAAGCCTGCAGTAAGTGCACTTTAAGCGATGTGTCATGATTACATTTTGATTGTCAAAGGACCTTTCCAACTGAAATTCAACATCAAATTCAGGTTGTTTATGGTGATGCTGAAGTGAGTATTGTACATTGCTAGTCCAAAAAAATGTAAAGGTGATATATTGAAAAGAATTTATTTTTTTCAAATTAGTGGAAAGGACTATTAGGACCTCATTGAAGAAACAAAAAGTGGAGTTCTTTCACGGTGGCTTTAAAAGTTATCCAGCATTGACAGAAGTATGTAGCAAATGGAGTTGATTGCTTGGAGACACCAATATTAACAACAAAATAATTCTTTTAAGGATAATTTTTTTACTTCATCTATTAAAACTTCCCTGTTTAAACTGAAATCACGGAAGTGGTTATTTTTCATTCAACCCTTGTTTATGTCAAACTGCTAAAGAAATTTGGCATATGAATTACTTACGTAAAGAGTACAATTCCTGTGTTGGCCAAAGCAAAGGCAAGACCCAATATTCCACTACCCATGATAGCATTACTAAGGTTGAAGACAGACATTCCCAAAGATGTTGTGCCTGGACTCTGTAAAAAGAGAAAATGAGGGAAGAAGGAAAATAAAGGAAGAAGGCAACTTAATTTCAAAGCTTGGCAATTGTTAGGGTTCTTTTCAATGTTCATTTTGAGAAGTCATTTCATAATTACATTAGTGACTTATATGTTGAACCTAACATTCAATTATCTGCCCAGTGAATTTCAGTAGTAGAAAAAAAATGACAGGTACATCAGTAAGGGTAACATTATACAGGTGTATCTTGACTTACATCTGCTCAATATAACCATATAATACTGGTCATAAGTGGATCATCTTGTGACCCTTCTGATTTTACGATTTTTGCATCAGTCATTAAGTGAATCACCATGGTTAAGTCAATCAAATCATTAAAACAAATGCCATGGTCATGAAGCAAACCCATTATTTGCTACAGTGTTTTATTGCCAAAAACTAGAAGTAAAAGCCAATTTGAGGCAAAAAAAACCCATAAATCTTAGTCACGTGACTACAGGACAGCAAAAAGGTAAACACCAGCCAGTTGCTGAACACTTGGAATGCGGTTACATGACCATAGGAGGGAGAGCAAGACACCTACTGAAAGTTTGAACCTACTAGAGAGTAACCTTTGGGGGTCCTACGTAGCTTTGAGTGGTTGCTAAGATATCAATTATAAGTTGTATAAGAAGTCTTGTAAGAAGACTACATATATGTTAACTGCATAATAAAACAAAGAGGACACATCCATGTGGCTAATGCATTTTCCTACATGCTATATACACATATTATTTTTAATGCAATCCCTAGTAATATATAGTTATTTAGTATCTATCAACTGGGTCCTATTGTATCCTGTTAAATTTCATTCCCACATCAATCTTTAGTCAATTAAGGTTCACCTAAATTGTTTAAAAGCCATTTTAAAAGCCATGAGCATTTCTTTCATTTTTACACAACACATCTCAAAGCTTCATCGTTAAGATGTCTTTTACAAGCAGAATCATAGTAATTGACTCTAAGAAGATTGGCAGAAATCAATATGGTGAAAGTGTTAAAAGAGGTGGTCTACCAAAAGTCAGATGGCATGGCTTAATGTTTCTGCTCATCCAAGTCTTGGCAATTGGACTTGTTAAGAGTGGAACATGCTCAGTTGTACCAAATATGATTTCACCAGCAGGACTCACACAAAGCCTATTATTAGTTCAGGGTGCATTGTGTCATTTGAATCCAGCAGCTCTCACTACAACTCATTGGAGAGCGTAGTCATAAGTTAGGGATGATAATAATGGAATTTAAGTATGACCATCATAACTAGCAGCCATTGAGAACCTTACCCATTAACAACTAATCTCCTTTTCAAGCTCTTAAAAATGTTAGACAGTAGATCTCATAATTTAACTGTTTGAACAAATACTTTTGTTTATCTGCCTTCACCATTTGTCTCCATTACGTAAATTTAAAATTCTGGAAGAAAAATTCCCTGCTTCCTATCTTATCCATACTGCATTCACTGATCATTAGGAAGATTAACTGTGGGCTGCAGAGAATTATGCAACTTACATTGAAGGACATAAAGGACATAAATATAACCACATAAACGAAACACAAATGAACAGTCCTGCAAAGTGTAGCTAATGGCAAATCTTCTTCTTGCCTAGGACATCCAGGCAAGTTTCAGCAGTTTCTGTCTATCTGCAACATTAAAGAATAAACCTTTATGAAGCGAAGAGAGAAACCTACGTATTCATCACACTTCTTCTTTTCCAAATGGCTGTTGGTTAGGCTTCTTCTGCTCTCACGGTCTGCAATGAACTTGCTAAAGGAAACAAGAAAGCAGGATTTTTTTTAATATTATGAGGCATAGCATGAATGCACTTTATTATGCACTGTTACTGCTGTAGAATGCTGTGACATTTCAATGTGGATTTAGATTGTTTTCATTAAACCACATTGTACACTGACATTTGAGAAGACAGGGCATAGGTAAACAAATATTATAGATGGAGGAGACACACAAAGACCTGAAAAAACACCCATATATGGTTCTGTTCTCTGATATACTGCTAAGAAATAATCCCGTGACGTGGCTACTTTGCAATAGTAGTTTCCTAGTCTCTCCCTCTCTGTATGTGTGTGTTTGACCTGAAAATACAAATCGTAAAATAGAGAACAAGTCCAGAATGTCAGAGGAGTGTAAATTTGCTAGTATTGGGCTATGGACTTTAGATTCAGCATTGTTCCATTTTCACAAAATCCTTGACAGGAATGATTTTATTAACAGAGGATCCAATGCATTTTAATAGTAAATAAACTAAACTAAATAAAATTTAAAAATAGAAAGGGAAAAAATAGTTCATTTTTTTAAAAAAAATGTAGAAAAAATAATGAATATATAAATGATTTCTCTCTTCATAACAATAATTAGGAACAATTTTAGTAACTTATCACCTTCTCTTATAATACAACAAATGTTTCCTTCTTCTCAAATATAATATCTTATCCATACACAAATCCATAAAACCTTGTCATTTCACTCCTGGTATTAGCAAAAACCCATTAAGGTTTACAAGAAATAACAATATATTTAACTAGCTGAATATCTGTGCTTCGCTACTAAACTATGTGGTTGGGCTTAGTTTTTGGGGAGGAAAATAAAGGGGTAAAAGTTCTGCCTCTACCTACCAGCATCCATCAGTATTCATCTGGCTAGCATCCTGTCAGTGTGTGAGTTGAGGGCTGTTTGGAAACTGAAACAGTATTTGCTGTGTGAGCAAGGAGGAGACAGCAAGAAGCCTGGGCATGGCTTAGCTCAACTGTTCTGTAGTAAAAGCTGCTTGGTGCTGTGAAACTAAAAGTGAAACTGAAACTCCTCTCCTCTGCTTATTTTTTGCATTTGGAACAAGTTTCTTTTCTAGTGGAGATGGAGTGTAGAACTCCTTAGCATCAGAGCTGATGGTCATTTGGAAAAATCTTTTCTTAGTGAGCACCTAGAAGCCAAGAGGAACATGTGTGCCAAATTTCAAGTTTGTAGGCTTTACGGTTCTGGAGATTCTGTGATGATGCATGAGCAGGGGTGGGATTCCACCAGTTCATACCTATTTGGTAGAACCAGTTGTTAACATTCTAAGCAGTTCGGAGAACCAGCTGTTAGAAGAAATTACTGGCCTAATCCTGTAAGGAAGGCAGGAAGGAAACATTCTGATGTTGCTTACGAAACTGCCTCTCCGTTAACCCTTGTTACATTCTTGGCAGGACTAGACTTCCTGTCTCAGGAACTTCTCTGGAGTTTTTTTCCCCTCCTTTGCTGGTACTTTGCTTGTGTAGAGTGACCAAAGTTACAATGGCACTGAAAAAAGTGACTTATGACCATTTTTCACACTTATGACTGTTGCAGCATCCCCACAGTCATGAGAGGCCAGGCGAGGAGATGCGTGCCTCGATGTAAGTAATACTGAGTTGGCCATACCCAGCCAATAACATGACCACCAAGCCACGTCCACCCAGTCATATGACCACCAAGCCATGCCCACCACCTAAGCCACACCCACAGAACTGGTTGTTAAAAAATTTGAATCCTACCCCTGTGCATGAGTAGTATTTCACTTTTATATACAGTACATAGATAGAAGATAAATAAACCAACTTTGTATGCTTTCCTTTTGCTGTTAACAATCTTGATCTTCTTATATTTCTTCCATTTACTTTTCAAAATCTGGAGGCTTAATCATCTCAAATAAAGTCCTAGGGCTTAATTTCTTCTCACTTGTTTTCTTATTTCTCACAGAACTCTTCAAAATGTTAAACAAGTCTTCTTTGTAAATCCAATGTAAGAAAGTAATCCAGATCACTTGCTAAGACATTTCTATATCTACTGTAGCGTCCCCTTTCACATTATTTTAAATCAGATTCAGGACTATGAGGTAAAAAAATGTTCCTCTTCCAAATACAGTGTATTCATAATGCCAAACACGCTTAAAATTAACTTCTGATCCATTATTCATAAATATCATTCAATATGTCCATTAAAATATTTTGCTCCATTCTTGATTAGTAAATAAAATTTAAGTTTTCTCCTTTAATTGTAATCTTTATTGTGTGTGTACTTATATCACATACATACATACAGTCAATTTGACTACAGCAATACATTCTACCTGGGAAGAGGAAATATCAGAGGGTTCTGATGGTGGAAAACAAGGCAATTGGGCTACTAATCAGTTCAGCACATCTGAAGCACTTTAAGATCACTGTTATCACCTTAAGATAACAAATATCACTGTTTTCTAAGCAGAAGACACAATACTTCAGACCCATAAATGGCAGGTGGCCTGACTGTTTGAAAGACTCCCAATTTTAGTATAATCCTATTAAGAGAATGGTCTATTCAAGCTTTGAAATACGGTGTTTTGTTTGTGCTCAATTCTCACCTTCATCCCACTCCAGCTTTTAGGAAAGGAATCAAAATATTTTTAACCTGGCATTTTATTTTTATCAGGTATTTAATTTAAATGTAATTAGTTAAATTAATTTACTTTAATAGTTTTAAATATATTTTGTCTATGTGTCTGTGTTTTAGTTTTGTGTTTTAGTTGTCTCAAGTGCCCTTAGGACAAAAAATAAATTGTATAAACGAACACGAAATAAAATAAATATGCAGATACATATTACTAATCAGTTCCACAAAACAAAAAGACTTGTAAAGAACAACAGGAGATCCAGGGATACAATCCCAAACTTATACTGCCTAAAACTAATGCAAATTGAATTAATGCATGCATTAATACATTATTATCCTTTGATCAAAAGCAAATAATGCATATATGCATTAAGCGTTCAACTTGCTTAACACACCTGGTTTAATTTCTCAGTTCTTAATTGCTTGCTGTAAAAGGGCTGTGTGGACTGCTGTTCTCATTACTTTATTTTATTCAATATCCTCCCTCTAGAGAAATGTGACTAGAACCCCAAAAGTTATCTCAGCCATAATGGCTCTTACACGCATACACTACTGAAACTCTTTTGTCTGCTGTAACATCCAATTGGGTGAAATGGTGCATCCATAGGGCAACCATCTTTAAACTAGGAAGTCTCAAATAAGATAAAACCTACATAATATGTTCTGTCTCACCTGTGACCACGAGGTGAGAGTCCAAATTTCCAAAGGAATATAAATAAACAGACAGGACCAGGAATGACAGAGTTAAATTCCTTTGGCTGGAGAAGTCCTTGGCAGTCTACAAAAGCTGCCTGCCAAGTCCGATAACAAGACAAGACCATAATCAAAGGCAAACGCCGCACAGAGAATTTGTCAAAGCTTCAATCCCAAATAAACAAGTTGTCCCAAACAAGGATTCAGAGCTAACACGACCCCTTTTATTTCCTGAGGGGCGTGTCAGTCTCTCAACTCAGTCCCTGATTTGACATTTCCTTTTACGTTGCATTTCACGTCTATGTCTAAGTCTTTGCCTTGCATCAAACCAACATTCCTCAGTCAGAGGCTCCACTATGCTCTCCTGATTATCTGCCAACACCTGAGGCACAACCAGGGAGGAAGGTCCTGGGGAGGAAGATGATTCCAAATCCTCCAGCAAAGCAGGCTCAAACCTCAAAGCCAAACCCTCCTCTTCCTCCTGGCTCAAGTCTGTGTCTTCCAGCAAAGCAGGCTCAAATCTCGGGGCCAAATCCCTCTCTTCCTCATTACTTAAGTCTGTATCTTCTAACAAGGCAGGCTCAGACCTCCGAGTCACAACAATAATGCATCCACATCCCAGACCCATTACTTTTGTGGGACTGAGATCTGGAAAAGTTGAGGCCGCTTCAGTGCTACCATGCCCTCTGACTGCACTTTCCAGAAACTATAGGTTGCACAACTTAAGGGAAGATGGGAGAGGCATATCCTCACCCTTTTCTCCCACCTCCTTTGAACCTGGCACCCAATGGTTGGTGGCAAGACACAACAGTGAGCAGCAATTGATTAATTTGGAATCGAGGCTGAAATTTGAAATTTCTTAACATAGGAAAGTAGTGGGGGAAGGATGAGGGCTTGACTTTGATGTCTTCTGGTGAGGTAGGGTAGCTGGGTGGCATCAGTGATTGATGGGTGAGCCCTTTCCTCTTTGGGGCCCTAGGGGACATGCTGGGATGGCAGAGTGAAGATGCAGTTTTTCTTGCAGTCCGTGGTTCCTTTCTCCCTGCAAAGTTGTAGGCAGTCCTGTGGGTCAACTGAGAAGGAGGAAGAGTGATTTCTGGTGCTCTCTGCCAAGCAAAGTCAATAGGGAAACTGACTTTGGTACTCCTGCTCCCACTCTGCCTGCTGTCATTCAGTTTCTCTGTTTAGGGTAAAGAAGTGTCTTGAAATGATGACTTAATAATGATTCACAAGTCTAGTCCACTTCTAAATCTGAAGTGAAAGCTCTGTAAGAGCTTTTGGCATATATTGGTTCTCACTAATATTATTCTTCCCCACTACTTTCCCTTTAATTGACATTCGGATATCATGTTCTTCAGAGACTTTTTGCTGAGGTAAAAAGAGAATATATGAGTCACAATTTAGTCTTTCACCTAATCTGAAGCTTTCCAGATTAGAGACACTGTAATCTGAAATTACTGTGTCTGGGAATCATGGAGATTTTAATACAAATCATTTGCAGAACAACAGATTGAAAGTATAGGGAACTGTGAGAATTGTAGTCCGCCACATTTGCAGGAACCACTTTGAGGAAGATTGTACTGGCATCTTACACCTACTTAGAATATTATGTTATGATAGTATATACATTTTCCTTCTTTCTCTTTCATATGGGGAAATTGTTTAAG